GCATCACAGTCATGAGTACTGTCTTGCGGGTCAAGCTGGGCGGTAAGGGCAGCAGACGAGTCGCTTGTGAAAAGAGGGTTTAGGGACTGGGGTTTAGGGTTTAGGGTTTACCTGATGGAGCCCTTCTACAGCCCTTACAGAGCCCTGATGAAAGGGTGCTCACCTAAACCCTAAAGCCTAAACCCTAAACCCTAAACCCTAAAACGTTGGACCCCTGCCTACCCAAGGTGCACACGAAGACACTGAAGACCATGGCGGGGAACCTCAGAATTCATCCTCCGGTGGGATTTGGGCTATACTTGGGCGACGGTAGGTCCCCAATTTCTGAAACCCTCAACCCTAAACCCTAAAACCTTCAACCCTAAACTCTAAACTCTAAACCCTCATCCCTAAACCCTCAACCCCAAAGCTGCCAAATAAAAAGCCCTAAGCCCCAACTTTGAAGCCCGAACAAGAATATGGCCCTAGACTCAAGCATGTTTAGGGGTTCAGGGTTTAGGGTTTAGGGTGTCATACGGCTCTGAGGGTACAGAATCCTACGTCAGCCCATTCAAAGCTCATGGCTGTGCCAAGGACAAGCCGACCACAGAAGAGCTCACGTCACAGCTGCTCAGCTGGGTTCATGAAGCGCTAGCAGGTTGGAACATGAATTTAGGAGTTAGCGACTGCCAAACCCTGAACCCCCAAAGCCCGCCACCCTAAACCCCTAGACCCTGAACCCCGGAACCTCAAAAAGCCCCGAAACCCAATGCCCGAACCCCAACGCCCGAACTCTTACATCCCAATGTCAAGACCCTAAGCTCATGATCCTCAACCCCCTCGATTGCGGGGATCTGGCCAAGATGTCAGCTGAGCTAAAGTCAGGCCCGTCTCTACATCCTCAGGAACCTTCACCTGATGGTTCAGGGTTTGGGGTTTAGGGTTAGGGTCTTAGGGTTTAGGGTCTTAGGGTTTCGGGTTTAGGGTTTAGGGGGAGGTTTATTGGGGACTTGTTGAGGATCGTTGGGGGGCTCTATAAGGATTTTGTGAGGGTTTGAAGGATTTTTGTTTGAGGTCTTTTTGCGGGTTCTGCTTGCAAGCTGGTTTGAGAGAGATCTGAAGGCTTCTTGATTGTGGTATCTGACATGAGGGATGATAAAAAACCCCGCTAT